TGGTATTTTCTGCCTTACAGAAGTCTTCTATGCTCTAACTTATTGAAGGTTTTCTTTATGCCTTCCCCTCTTAAACATTATTTTTCTTTACCATCTCATTTAGTATTTATAATGATTTCATTTTCTCATAGAAAAACATTTGATCCACCTGGAATTTATCTGTGATAGAGAGTAGGATAAGGATTCAGGAGTTGGTGGTCAGGGAAGGAGTAGGAGGAGAAGGTTCTGGTGGGGGGTCACTCATTAGCCTTTGGAAAAAGTATTTATATTATACCTAGGTTTCCACTTGAATTGATCTCAATGGAAAACTGAATCAATCAATAATATTGTGTTCCAGCTTGATCATAGCAATTACCGTTTCCCTAATTAATGAACATGGTCATTAATTTTGAAATTCCTACTACTTTGCCTGCAGTGACTTTGTTTATTTTATAAAACCATCCTGACTAGTTTAAACAATTTAATTGCTTTCAGCATGATGAGATTATTTCTTGTATCTGATTCTATTATGAAACAATGATAACATATTTGGCTTTGGGGCATGTCACAGTACAGTATCTGAGATATTCAAATATAAATGGAAGTGTTCCATTATAAGGCCTCCCATCCTCAGCTGATCGCTTTTCCTTCTTTCTTTAACAGCATTTTTTTATTCCCTTCCCTTCCCTTCCTGCTTCCACCCTTCCTTTGGACTTTATTACCTGGTCCTTAGGACCAGGTAATAAAGGGAAAATACCTACCCTGGTATTTTGCCTTAACTTGCCTACATATTGACCCCAGTTTTTTTCTCCCTAAAACACCGGTAGGCTCATATAGTCCTCACCTTCCTCTGTGCAAGGCCACGGTACCCACAGGCCTGGAGCTGAAAACCTTCCTTTGGCAGTCATCACTGTTGAAAGGATTTCCACATGTGTAAATCTTTCAGGACAAGTACTGCAGACATTTCGAGTGATCTGGCTTGAGTCCAGCGACATCACAGGGACCACCCCATGTGGGGCTTTCCTCATCCTGCCCATAACATTTGAACTCAGTTAAAATGGACATCAAAGGTGGCTCTAAAGAAGAAAAGAAAAAGCAGAGGAGTCATAAAAGGGCAGTGTAAGGCCTAGGGACAAAGCTGAGACAGAAACAGGGTATGACCAAGGCAGCCGGCACCAGCAGTGCTGGGACATCCCTATTTGCCAAGTCCTCAAGGTATTTTCCTGTAATTACTCCGTATGTCAGGATCCTGAACGCAAGGCAGTTCTCATCCATTCCAGTCATTTTATAGCTGACTTGGAGAGGATTAAATGACAAGGAGGTTGAGGTACTACTGTGTGATTTAACTCATCATGAGGGTACAGAAAACATATCTTTGTATTTTTGAAGGGAAGATTTAACATGCAAAATATGTTATGATTTAAAGTTGAGGTGGAGGAAGACAAAACAAATTTCTCTCAATCCCACCTTTGCCACCACCATCATTCCACCAAGGGGAGGCCCTAGAGCAGCCTTGTGATATTTAAATGTAAGTTGCTTTAGGAAAAGGCAGTGTTCCTTGTGCCCCAACCCATGTTACAGCCTCAGCTCTGAGTTGAGGGGTACTTTGCTTTCCTTGGCAACTGCTCTCAAGCTCATTCATTTTAAGGACCTCATGGGAAAGATGGCTGTAATCTGAGGTGGAATTTAGTTTCTTGAGATCTTTGGACTTAATATCATTATAAAGCACCCCAATATCCTTCCCAGCCCCCATTTTCAAAGCTGTCATAGTTTCACTGTAGGTGTTGGCAGATTTATTTACCAAATTAGCTAAGCCATTACTGGACAGAAGTCAAGGCCCGGAGAATGGTGGGCTACAAGGGAGGGACCCAGGGAAATCCTGCAAAATCCTGATGTCAAGTACCAAGGGCTGGGGATGGTTGGACAGCCTGGGAAACCTTGACGTTGAGAACATTTTTCAAAGGAATGTAAAAGGGTATAGATGGGAAGGGCTTGAAACAAATCTGCTTTGCACTTATGTCTACAGAGCAGTGTTTCTCAGACTACCTGTGAAAAAGACCAGTGTATTTGGAGTTTTAGTTTGTTAATTGTTTTTAGTTTCAGCCCATTGTGAACTGATACATTTATACAACACAAATAAATAGAAAAAAAGTAATTAAATAAAAAACAAAGGCATACAAAATACACACCCAATTTTTTATTAGATTGGACAAATTATGTTTCATTAATAAATTAATACAGTGCCCTGTTCAGTGGTTGTTACAGTTTCTAAACTCTTACTCTCAATTTCTGTCCCCATCTTGCTCCAAACTGTTAATAAACAGGTTCAGAGACTGGCACAGGTCTGCGGGCCATGCTTTGATTGACATGGCTTTAAGGGGTGTGGCTTATGAATCTGATGGAGCAGGTGTCTGGGCATCGAAGAAAGGCAGTCCAAGAAGTAGAACCACACGAGGCCTTTGGAGCAGTGGAACAGCTGTTCTATAAGGGTCTCCTGAAACACTGGAGGGGCAAAAACAACATCTCTAAGAGCAGCAAGAAAGACAGCTAAACACCACACAGCAAATAGAACTACAAGGCCACGATGTGTGAAGCCAGCCCTGCTCTGAGCATGGCCATCCACTCGCTTGGTCTGGTACAGCTGCTGTAAAGCCATCCAAAGCAAACACGTCCCTCCCTGCAGCAGACTCCACAGAGCAAAAACCAACACCCAGAAATAAATTAGATCGCTGGCCTCATCATGTTACACAGCCCACTGTTCTCAAATCCAGGATCCTGAATATAATAACAAATGATACTATTAACTAGTGAATCAGTCTAAAGCCAAAACCAAATAACTCATTACTATTAATCAACATGATTCTCAGAATTTTCCAGGTCAGCTACAAGAAACAGTTAGAAGACTCTTCCCAATAGAACTAAATCTCACCCATGTCTAATTGTACGCAATGCATATGGCTAAATCCTGTTTCCCTTCTGCACAGCCAGCTTGCCTCTCAGAGCAACTAAGTTCCCAGGGGCTTCTCTAAAGAGTCAGGCATGTAGTCAGGCTGAAAGGAACATGAAGCCGGGAGCCAGCACATAAGAGCTTAGAGCCACCTGCTAGCTTAGTAATCTCAAGCAAGTCCCTGAGCTTCAGTTTCTTTATCCATAAAACAAGACTAATGACAGTCACATTCCTGGAAATACAACTGAAAATGTTTAGCAATTTGTACAATGCTATGTGGACATTAATCTTTACTACTCAGAAATAAGCAGCTGAGAGATACTTGTAAACATTCTCATCTCCCCTATCCCCCGCCAATACACACACACACACACGAAGCTTTGTCCCTTACAGTTTATTTCTGCCTTAGAGTTTGGATCACTTCTACCTGTCACACACCAACACACCATCTTCCTTATGACCCCGGCATCACTGGGAAGTAGCAGGGAGCTGACGCCATCCCGTCTGCCTTCCAGTATGGAACAATGGCATACAAGAGAGCCATCCAAGGCACATCAACGGTGACACAGATGACTTGAAAATTCACAGGGACATTTGAGTGGGAGTAACAAGTTTGGTTTATTAAGCTTGCGGCTTTTCTTAACCTGGCTCCTCTTTATCTCACCTTCTGCTCTCTCCGACAGGAAGTCACTGCTCTGCGTCGGTTTTGTTCATTCTGTTTAACATGTAGAAAGCTTTACTGTTGCCACATCCCTGTAAAAGGCATTTTATAAAATTCTGTGTTCTAGCAGGGTACTCATTCACACACGAGTTAACACACAAGGAGGTCAGGCAGGTGATTTGGTCCAGGTCATAAGCTGTGTAGCCTTGAACAAATTACTTAGCCTCTTTGAAGTTATTTCTTCCATTGTAACATAAATATAATAGTTGTCCTGCCTTCCTCAAAGACATAGACATGAAACCATAAATGATCATTAAAAAAGAATTTTGGACATAACTTAAGGCATTTTACTTGTATATAATTAAGTTATATTGTAAATATCTAATATTATTTATTATTGTTCCTACTTTTTGTGTTAGGAAACAATTTGATAGGAGCCTCTTGCAACCTGCCGAGTGTAATAGCTCTGGATTTTAATTATCCTTTCTAAAACAAATGGAAGACAGAATGCATACATCTTAAAAGAACTGTTGATTTAATGCAAATTTTGACCAGTGTTTCTAGAAAGTGATTGGCATTCTGGTGCGTGATCTATTTGTATTCATTTTATATTTACACTGCTGATCAGTGCCTGCACAAACAGAATCTTGTAGAATCTTGAGTCTAATACGCTTTGTATTGAAGGCCTGGCAATGCATTGTTATCTTTCCTGGGAGAATAACAAAGTGCAGTCCTTTACTTTTAAAAGACATTATTATTAAGGCCCTGGAAAAACACGTGGTCATTTTCAATTAAAAATGAGTAAAAGAGAGACTCTAAATCAAAAATTTGTGCCAATGTTCACCTTTAATAACATTATGAAATCTCACAAAAATGTAACTAAAATTTAACCAAATTTGAGCAAACTTAGAGAAAAGGCATGAGTAGGGATGTTTGCTGCAAAACATACAGTTTTCTCTGGACAGTGCTCAGGCTTTAGCTAAGCCACATTGTGAAGTAACCATGATCTGTGCAAGGTCCATGTCTCCCTTCATCATAAATGTATGTCCAAATGAAAAAGAGAGAAGAATGAAATACGATAGGCACCATTTTGTGCCAGGAAAAATAGTAAGTATTGCTTTAGAGCAATGCACACCTTTGAACTCTGTCTACAACTTCATTACATTCTTATGGCATGGATATTTTTAATCTATAAATGTTATATATGTAGTATAAATTTCATTTATACCACAAATACTCTGATACAGATATTAGAGATGGTATCTCCAGGTATGAGTTGTTATGTCGCACATACCTCCCAAAAGAGTGCTGAAAGCACACAACTTAAAGTCCTCAAACTGATACATACATTTACTCTTAGATGTGAGAAAAAATCTTAACCTCTAGAGCACTTGTGGTGACAAAGTCAAAACGTGTAAGAACAAAATTCAGTCTTCAGAACCTTCTTCCTTCATCATAGGATCAGAGCGTTTCATCTGGCCTTCTTAAATCTAAGTCTTTAAAATGACTATGTTTTCTTCTTTCTCTCTGTTTTTCCTAATAGTTGGAGCTTATATGACTTCTGAGTGTAAGTATCTCCTATATCTACATGTAAACATTAAATGACTTTCTAATGACTGTAGTGTTATATTATAGATAAAAATTATTTTTGCAATCCTATAAGTATATCCTATATCTACATGTAAATATTAAATGACTTTCTACTGACTATATTGTTATATTATAGATGGAAATTATTTTCACAATCATTTCTGTCTTTCTGAACTGTAATGCACTATACAAATTGTTCATCAGTAAAATTATTGTAACTCTTAGGTAGGTTGTTTTTTAAGCTTTGAAAATAATACAGCGACTGTCAGTGGAAGAATTACATGAAACAGTTTGTTTGGATCTTTTGTGTGATATCTTTTGGTCTACTTTTGTAGGTTTCAATATGGAAATTATTGGAGGAAAAGAAGTGTCACCTCATTCCAGGCCATTTATGGCCTCCATCCAGTATGGCGGACATCACATTTGTGGAGGTGTTCTGATCCATCCGCAGTGGGTGCTGACAGCAGCCCACTGCCACTACCGGTGAGTCCTCCATACTTTTCCAGGCACGTGTTTTTCCTGCAAGTTATTATAGCTAGAAGAGAAGCCTACCTCTCCTGAGCGAGAATTTGATCAACTCTTAGCTTCTGTGGTCATTACCAACTGGTGGGGTTTATTTACCTTCTTCCACATCCACACTTTCTGGCCTGGGTTTTCCTTTTCAGAGAGATCTGGGCTGCTTTTCCCAGGCAAGGCATTAGACAAATTCAAGTTCTCTGTATAATGCCAGGGAACACAGCAACAGTAATACCTGAAGCAGCAGTGCTCTTGATCTTGTTAGATCACACTGCTCAAGAGGAAATCAGACAACCTGAGCTTGCTCTGTGCTCTTAGCTTCCCCATTTTACAAAGGGGTAATAATCATATTGCACCTGCTTCATGGGGTTTGAGAATTAAATAGTATCTATTTCAGTATTTTAGCATGCTTGGCACATTTAGGAAGCATAAAAAGCTGCAGCTTTGATCATTAGTATTATATTTATGAGAAGCCTACTTTGCCACTCCTAACAGTAACTACTCACCCCTCACAACTTTCCCAGGTGGAAACAAACAAGTTATCGATCACTTCTAAAAAGAGAAATATAAAGAGAGAGTCATTTTTTGGGATACTTAGAATGAAACCTTTTCTGAAGACGAAGTAAAAAACCTCCCGAAGTCCATTTCAGCCTAGGATTCTCTCACATCAGCTAATAAAGCACAAAACCCCTCTTGGGATACTGTAATCATCACAAAAGGAAATGCCAGTAGAAAACTAATGTTTTGTCTGTTTGCTTGGGTTTTCTTGGTTTTGTTTTGTGTTTGTATGTATATTTCCTTATGTCTCTTGCCTAATAAGCTGAGACAGAGGCTTCTCCCTTTCTTTCATTTAAAGATCTATCTTAGCTGTAATGGTTTGCTCTCTAGGCATTGTCTATATTTAAACAGAACAACTGAATTGATTTACTTCTCCATGTTTTGGAGGTTTTGTGTGATCACCCCATTTAAATGGAACTGTTTGATCACAAATTAAAAGCTTCGAAGCCTGAAGACAGGGAGATCTTCTGCTATCTCTAAATAGCAAGCCACTTATTTCCAATTTAATATGGTTACTTCATTTACATGGGGTTCTTGCCCTCATAGAAATCATACTCTCATCCCCATCATTTCTCTCTTCTCCAGGGCACTTGGCCCCTCGAGACCAGAGAGGCAGAGTGGGGAACTGTCAATAAATGTTCATTTGATGCAAAATATGCATATCTCCAAATATACTCATTCAAATGGTCTATAACCTCCCCAGACACGGAGCTTGACTTCTAAATGTTCAGCAAATGCTAGATAGAAAGAAGAAAATACGTTGAAGGATCTTTCTTTCTGTTTTGTTTTGTTTTGTTTTGTTGTTGTTGTTGTTTTGCTAAGCCTGAAACATGACGTATGAAAAAGTACTTTGCTGGTCATAAAGTGTTATAGGAAGTTAAATAATATTACTAAGTTGAATTTTAAATTTTGTCAAGTGGATTTAACTCAGAAGTGGATTCACAAATTGGGGAAAGAGATTATAAAAAAGACTTGAGAGAGGTCTTGGAGGTTTTTTTCCTTAAAACAAACTGTTGCTAAATATCATTTTTAATGGCTGGAGTATAAAGAACTCCAAAATATGTAGATCGAATTTCCTCTACGGGACACTTGGGTGCAAAAAGTAGCAGATCGGTAGTTGGAAAAATATTAAGCTTTATGAAATTCAAAATATTTGCGAAATAGCTCAATGGTGGCTTCCCACAAATGTAACTCCCCAGTATCCTGTGGGAATAGTTTGCCCCAAGCCTCTCTCTCAGCAAAATTGCGAAGTGGGTCAAGCCTGGGAGTGCTCCTCATCACCAGCCGTCCACACAGTTCCTCCCTCAGTATCCCGGCCCCTTTATTAGTTACCATTCAAATATGAAAGGAAACTGGTAAAAATGTCTTGTACAAACTTATTTTCAGCCTTTTTTACTTACCAGAGGCAAAACGCTCACCAGCTGTTCTTCCCTATCCTCCTGAGTCTCCCCCAGTGCCCGCCTCACAGAGCACTTCCCCCTGCCCCAACCTGCCTAGCGAGTTGTTAGATGGAACCTTCCACAGCTCTTCCACACGGCCTCACTCTATCTCAAAGACTCAAGACTCCTGGAGAAAAATGGTTCAACGTTCAGGCTCTAGATTCAAGCCAACTGAGCTTTAATCCTGCCCGGATTTGCCTCCTGGAGGCAAACTTCCTCAAGTTTATTCATATACCTGAACCTCAATTTCTTCATCTATAAAATGCGGATTGTCATAATACTTATCTCACCATGCTGTTGTGAGGTTTAAGTGAGAGAAGGTATATAAAATGCTTAGCATAGAACATGAAGAACTTAATAGATGCTATTGAGTATTGTTATCTGATTATCTGTGCCTTCCATGGTAATAACTGAGAAACTAATCTGATGTTGATGAGGTAAGACTGGGAAACACTCCCTGTCTGACAGCCAAGTTCTTCTCCCTCTCTCTTAGGCAAGAGAAATCTCCAAGACATAGGGACCCTGCCTTTGCTGCCAGATCTCAAGGGGTGGGTCTAAGCAGAAGCACTGCTGAGCATCCAGGCAGGCTGGCAGAGAAAAGAAGAGGCTCGAAGGGGGTTGGCACAGGAGTCAAAGAGAGGTTGAGGAAGGAACACTGGACTGGGAATCACCAAAAGCCAAATTTGGGTCCTGATTCCCCTATTTTGAGGTGTGTCACCTTGGACCAGTCAAAGAACAACATTTTACTGGTAAGGAATATACAGCCTGAGAAAAGTTGTCATTAGGCTCAACCGAAGTAATGTTTACATTACTTATAGTAGGTCTTCAGAAGACCTACTATAAGCCACACTGTAGTTCTGCTCTGTATGTGGTTCTTTTTCAGTTAAGTTCAGGGTGGGACTCAGGAAACCACATTTTACACCAACACCTCCAGGTGATTCTGAAGCAAGTCTGAAGACCGCACTTGGGGGAACATTGTGTTGTGCAGTTGAAAGACAGGGTATTATTTCTTCTCCTCTGTGTAAATTCAGACTTCAGTTTAGCTAAGGAGGTGGGATTCCAGAACTCAAGTAATTCCAGGTATCCTGTGGGCAGAAAATTTGACCTCAGTAGCACAGATTACAGTTGAAGAGTATCTAGAAATTGAAAGTCCAGTGGTCTGCTTGGGTTGTTTTTGGTCTTAACATGTCCCAGTGGAGACAAAAATAACCAAAACATTTCAAAGGCAATAACTAGCCAAGGAAATTAGTAAAAGATGAAAGAAAGCCAGACATTTTTCCAGCACCCCTCCCTTAGTGAAAATCCACCCTCCACACCTTATATTTGTACCTCGTAGCCTTCTTTGTGTGAGTTGTCTATGCACGTGCCCGCCTTTCTGTTAGAACATTCATCCTGGAGATTTTATATCATCCTTCTCCTACAAAGTTTTGGGTTTAGTGGGTATGTTGAATTTAAATTCAAATCAATCCTAGGAAATCCGATCCACATCCTCTGAGAAATTTCAACCCCATCCTGATTTTGCAATCGGCAAACTTTTCAACAAATAGAGCTGGAAATCCCAAAATAAATTAAAATAAACTCTTCTGGTGGAGAGCAAATGACCAAAAAGTGGTCATTCCAGGCAGTCACAGCTTTGCCATGAGCAAACCCACCCCACCGCAGGCATTTGCTCATTTTCCAAATCTGAAACAATCACGTCTTCCTTTTCTATGTTTCTGGGCTCTTTATAACTTTTATTGATCTTTGTTAATCTACATGCATGAGTATGTGTGTTTTTACTGCAGTCTGCTTTGGTAGCTTTTTCAAGTAGCAAAGAAATAGTTACACATAGACAAATAAACACAATTAAAAGATCTGAGGTGGCTTTCATAAAGACAGACACTGCAATGGGATATATCTGTAGTATACAAACGGCTCTATGGTACTGTCAAAATCTCCAAAAAAATTTTTGCTACTTTATCACTGCTGTAAATGTAATTTTATCCAACAAAGAGTAAATCAGATCAGTTGTGGCACTATTGAAACAATGGTACTAGAACTGTGTATGACCAGAGATTTTAAAAAATAAACCTGGCCAGGCACGGTGGCTCACACCTATAATCCCAGCACTTTGGGAGGCTGAGGCTGGTGAATTACCTGAGGTCAGGAGTTCGAGACCAGTCTGGCCAACATGGCAAAACCCTATCTTTACTAAAAATACAAAAATTAGCCAGGTGTGGTGGCACACGCTTGTAGTCCCAGCTACTCAGGAGGCTGAAGCCGGAGAATTGCTTGAACCCGGGAGACAGTAGTTGCAGTGAGCTGAATTCACACCACTGCACTCCAGCCTGGGCAACAGAGCGAGACTCCATCTCAAAAAAAAAAAAAAAAAAAAAAAAAAAAGTTAAAAATAAATCTAAAAAACAAACCTGTTTCTTCACCTGACTCACCAGTTCGTACCCTCAAAATCTCCCCATTGGAATGGCCACTAACCTTAAAGTGTCTTCATTTCAAATTAGCACAGTTTCCTCAGTTTGAGGAAAGTTTTCCTTTCTTGTCCAAATCTTCATTCTAATTGAGGGACAGGATACATGTGGATGAGCAAGTGTAGGGTGGGGGTCTTAAATTTTTTTATTTTTATTTATAGTTTTAGAGATGGGTCTTGTTGTGTCACCACTGCATGATCACAGCTCACTTTAGCCGCCAGCTCCTGAGCTCAAGCAATCCTCCTGCTTCAGCCTCTCAAACAGCTGGGACTATAGGCATTCACCACGGTGGGGGTCTCACTGTGTTACCCAAGCTGGTCTCAAATTCCTGGCCTCAAATGATCCTCCCACCTCAGTCTCCCAAGTTGCTGGGATTACAGGTGTGAGCCACCACACCTGGCTACCTTAATTATTGAAACACTTAATGTTGGGAAGATGAAAAGTTCTGAGGTTCTGGAGATGATGGTGGTGGACAAACAACAATATACATGTCCTTCACACCACCAAACGGTACATTTAAGAATGGTTAAAATGGTAAAGTTTGTTATATATGTTTTAGCACAAGAAAAAACCGTTACTTGTAATGGTGTAAATCTCAAACTACAAACTCAAGAAATGTAATTTCCTTTATTTTAACATAAATGAACACAATTTTGTTTTACACTTGATCTAAGTCAAGCAGGATTTTCCTCCTTTTTCTTCCCCCAGTTGGATACAAGTTCTGATATTCTTTTGCAATGCCAGGGAATTGGTTTGGGGTAGGATTAAGGACAAGCCATTTGGCCCTTAATATCAAGTCATGCTGGGGTCCAGTGAGACCTTCGTCACTCTACCTAATCGTAAGCAGGTTACCTTGGAGATAGCCCTTGTTTCTCTATGCATATAACCCTCTCCACCATCTCTACTCCCCACTGGGGTATTTGGAAATCATTCTGGTGCTTTCATGCTCTTTGCTTTTTTAGGTTTGCCAAAGGCCAGTCTCCCACTGTGGTTTTAGGCGCACACTCTCTCTCAAAGAATGAGGCCTCCAAACAAACATTTAAGATTAAAAAATTCATACCATTCTCAAGATTTACATCAAATCTTCCATCAAATGATATCATGCTGGTTAAGGTAGGTAGTAGCATTGCCTTCCTTCAATTTTGTCAACATTTTTATACAGGATGGCTCAATTAGTTAAGTCACCCACACAAAAGCATTTTGTTAGCACCCTCCCCATGTTTGAGGTGATTCTGATATATTTTACAAGGGCCCATGTTATTCCTTATACTGCCTTGAAAGAAACAAGAATTTATCACAAACGCACCAGGGCTGTGTTTATACAAGGAAAAGCCATTCTGATGCTCACATATGTAGGAGGGGAACATCTTCACAGGCCCAAGGATCCACACTGAAAGCTTTTCTCCCAAATGCTTTTCTCATTAGCAAGTAAAAAATACTCCAGTTGTTTATACAGCAGAGCCAACCAACTGACTTCAGGGGTTCAGCAGTGAGTTACAACTTAGTCTAGACCACACTTAGTCTAGTCCAAACTTAGTCTAGACCATACTCAAGGGTCCTATCCCGCAGGAAGCAGCCCAGCCCTCAAAGTCATGACCTATGGATGTTATTCCACACAAAAACCATCCAATACAGGGCAAAGGCCAGTTTGCTCGAGACTGGACAAAATTCCTGCTCTCTATAAGCTTCCTCCCCAAGCCTCAGTGAGCTCCTCGGGGAGTAAAGGGCACGGTCAGAAAAGCAACAACCACAAACGCAGCTGCAGGCCACCATCAAAGTAGATTCCAGGACAGGGACGCCCGCCTAAGACAGAGGGACCACACATACAACGCACAGGCTAGCACCAGAATACTACTGGGAAAGAATGATAATTCAGTCTTTTTTCAATCTGTCAGCTTCAAACAGCCGCAGAACTCAACAAGCATGTCCAGCTGCTACACCCAAGCTCCAAAACCTCTCTTAGATCTGGAACCAAATGCCAGGTTACTGGCTGGGGAGCCACCGACCCAGATTTATTACAACCTTCTGATACCCTACAGGAAGTCACTGTTACTGTCTTAAGTCGAAAACTTTGCAACAGCCAAAGATATTACAACCACGACCCTTATATCACCCAAGACATGGTTTGTGCAGGAGATGCCAAAGGCCAGAAGGACTCCTGTAAGGTAAGCATCTCTCTTTCAAACAGGCATCTCGGAGCACTGTACAGCAGCCAAGTCTTTATTGCTCACTGACACTGAGGAGGAAGGAGGGACATAGAGAAAACAAAACCACAATTCTAAAAACTTTCTCTCCATTCCTGCACAGCATTCTCTATTCTTTTTCATCTACCCATGTGAATGGAGTGTACAAGCTTCCCCAGTGCTTCATAAGCACTCACTAAATGTTTGTTAATCAGGATAATAGACTAGATCTGACAACTTTTACAGGATTCCTATGAGAGGTGTTATCCTCCTTAGAAAGTCTATCAACAGGCCAGGCACAGTGGCTCATGCTTGTAATCTCATCACTTTGGGAGGCAGAGGCAGGTGGATCACAAGGTCAGCAGTTCGAGGCCAACCTGGCCAATATGGTAAAACCCCGTCTCTACTAAAAAAAATACAAAAATTAGCAGGGCATGGTGGCATGCACCTGTAGTCCCAGCTACTCAGGAGGCTGAGGCAGAAGAATCGCTTGAACCAGGAGGTACAGGTTGCAGTGAGCCAAGATTGCACCGCTGTACTAGCCTGGGTGACAGAGCGAGACTCTATCTCAAAAAAAAAAAAAAAAAAAGAAAGAAAGAAAGTCTACCAACCCTGAAGTCACTAGTGGTGGTGATTAGAAAATAACTTATTTAAAGAACCACCTTGCAGATTAATCAATAAGGTCTTACAAAACTCAAATGCAAAAAGCTCAATTATACAGTATGTGTTTCATAAGTAATGTTGACTGGCTGTCTTTGTCTGTTTGGGCTGTTATAATAAACTACCATAAACTTGGTGGATTATGAATAACAGAGCTTTATTCTATTCAAGATCAAGATCAAGGCACCAAAAGATTTGCTGTCTGGGGAGGGCCTACTTTCTGGTTCATAAACGGCTTCTGTTCACTCTAACCTCATACGGTGGATGGGGCAAGGGGTCTGTCTTAGGCCTCTTTAGTAAGGGAACTAATCTCATTCATGAAGCCTTCACCTCCATGACCTAATCACCTCCCAAAAGCCCTACCTCCTAATACCATCACCTTGGGAGTGAGGATTGCAACACATGAACTTGGAGAATCAAACATTTAGACCATACCGCTGACTGACAAAAAGGAACAAAAGGCCGGGCATGGTAGCTCACACCTGTAATCCCAGCACTTTGGCAGGCGAAGGCGGGTGGATCCCTTGAATTCACGAGTTCAAGACCAGCCTGGGCAACATGGTGAAAACGTGTCTCTAAAAAAAATTACAAAAATTAACCAGGCATGGTGGTGCATGCCTGTAGTCCCACCTACTTAGGAGGCTGAGGTGGGAGGATCACCTGAACCTAGGAGGTTGAGGCTGTAGTGAGCCGAGATCTTGCCACTGCATTCCAGCCTGGGTGACAAAGTGAAACCCTGTCTTAAAAAAAAGGAACAAGAGTCATTATATTTTTCAAAATCTTTTGTTTATTAAGATGGTAAGGAAAAAATAGGTGTTCACATTTATATGAACTATGCTAATATGTAGCACAAATGAATTACTAATTTTAAAAAAATTAGAATATAGTATTCATCTCATACTATACATTAAGCATTACTGGGGAGAGGATATGATGACTTCAAATGTCTTGTGCATCTGCAGCACCCAAGACCATCTCCCTCCTAAACATCTGTTAACACGGTTGGCCAGAGTACAAGGCATTGCAGTCTGCAATGTGAACATCAGCACAGAGAAAGGCTGGTCTTCAAATGTAAAAGCCAGCTCTTCATCAGAAGGCCATGCCATCTCCTCTATAGCTCTTTCACTTCAGTTGATAGAATTTAGTTACATGTTTTGCTGTTAGAGTGAGTCTTCAAAAATCATTTAATTCACTAAGTATTTACTAAGTATGGTACATATACAAATACATAGCACTATGTCCAACCATGTGAGGATGCAAATAAAAAGAGAAAAGAATAACAGAGAACATATAATTCCTGCCATCAAGACATTTACTACAATACATTGCTATTTTCTGCTAGTCTCAATATCAACCTGATTTTAGGTCTGTGAGCATCAAAATGAAATACACGATTTTAAAAGATTATTTTATTTCAGTAGATTATTTAAAACTTTATGTATTCTTTAATAAATAAAAGTCAATAGTCATTGATTCCCAGAGGAATGTAGACTAGATAGGGACAAAACAGAGACATAGACATGGACATAGAGACAGAGGCAGAAGCCTGGTCATAGACAGAGACATAAACAGAGAAGCAGGTAGGCAGAAACATAGACCTCAACAGAGACAGACACATGGAGAACGCATACCGAGTAAGAGGCAGTGTCAGACACTCTTCAGGACATAAAGAAAGCAAGGACCCAGATAAGAATCCTTTGAGCAATCAACAGTTGGTGGAAAAAAAAAAATTCTCAACAGCTTCTCACCATGTATTTGCCCTTTTTCTTCTCTCCAGGGTGACTCAGGGGGCCCACTGATCTGTAAAGGTGTCTTCCATGCCATAGTCTCTGGAGGTGATCAATGTGGTGTTGCCAAGAAGCCTGGAATCTACACCCTGTTGACCAAGAAATACCAGAATTGGATCAAAAGCAACCTTGCCCCATCTCATGCAAATTAAGTTACAAATGATTTTCTTGGATGCACTTGCTTCTTTTTACCTAATATGCTCTCAGGTTATAGTTGGATGTAAATAAAGCAGAGCACAGATGGGGTTCATTTTGCATCTGTATTTTGTTAAGCAATCAAGTTCTTTCTCACTTGTATCACTCAGGTATTTCTACCTTGCTGGTTTGATTTTAAATAAAATTTAGAAGACTCTCTGTTTGTCTTTTATAATGTGAAGCAACATCTGCCCCCATTCTACCCACACTCCCCACAGGGCAATAAGATCACTGAATAAAACAGTAACAGTACCACTTTCAACCGGGTTTATGCTATAACTTCTGCTGGATCATCCAAAATTGTTGGGTTGTTTTCTTTTCATTGTTGCAATAACATTTAACATGAGATAGGCCCTTTCAACAAATGTTTAAGGGTAAGATATAGCGTTGTTAACTATGGGCCTGATCTTGCAGTGCAGCTCTCTAGAACTGCTTTATCTTGTATAACTGAAACTTTATGCCAGTTGAATAGCAGCTCCCTATTTCCCCACCACCCCCATCCCCTGGCAACTCCATTCTACTCTAAGCTTCCATGAGTTTGTGTTTTTTAAATATAAATCATAAATATAAATATCCCAATTCAAGTAAGTAGCTTATACAAATATTTGGAAAGTATTTCTTACTAATATATGTCGCATTTTGTTCCAGAAAGGATTTAAAGCAATGTACAAAAATGCCTGCAATGAAACAAAATGCAGAATTAAAAATAAATTGATGAAGGTATTGAGACAAAGGGGAAATGAGAGTAAGAAGGAGAAAATGAAGGTCGGAAAGGTGACATGGTACTGATAGTGCCACAAGTTTCCCTATATACATTTGTTAGAAGGATTCACATTTGGCTCTATGCTTTGGCCAATGCAAGAAAGAGCAACACAGTCCGTTATATGAATTATAGTATCCAGGAAATAAAAATAAATTGTTTGCCCAGAAGTAGCACCCCTGGTGCCGGAACTAAAACTAGACAAAACTTTTCTCCATGGTCCTGGTAAGAAGGATACTGTGCCTTGTTTCCCATATCCCCACCAACTGCATTAGAACCACCTAAGATTATTTGTACTCTAGGTTGCCTTGACCTCTTGCCTAGAAATTCAGATTGAATAGGCTTGGGGTGGGCCTGAAAATCTGCATTTTTTCAGAGCAACTCAGCTGATACTAATAAATGAGCAAATCTGAAAGCCACTGATAATGAACATCCTCAGTAACTTCTTATAATAAAGACAACAAATGATGTCAAGGGATTGTAATAAATCTTTCAGTGTGAACTGATGGCTGCAGACCAAAGTGCAATTCAGTATGACCACTGGAGGATCTCAGCTGTCTTGGACTGTGGTCGTCCAGTGATTAGAGAAGTAAAAATTTCTAATTTGGGTGGAGGAGCATGGTGGGAGATTGGTGGGGGATGGCTTCAACAGTCAGAAGCCAAAAGATTAATCTCAGCCACTATATTTAATTTGGGTTTTGGGGGATAATTAGTTCTCATTTCCAGGAAAAATCATGAAGTTATCTTACATGCATATAGAAACAGGTGCTTTTGGTTGTTTGTTTATTTGCTTATCTTTTGTCATGGTTCTTAGAAACCATCACTACCCTGCGCTATGAATACTTGGAGAAATGAAAGCACTGGATTAAAAAAAATTAGGTTTAACTAAAATTATTGAAAGTAATAATTTTAAAATTATTGAGAAAATAGTAAAAGAAGGTTCTTTAAATATCTCATCTTAAACATTTTGATTTATTAAAAATATACTGATTATGAAATCCCAGACTATATTTTACAACAAAAGAAAGGGAAAAAGTTAAAGATTCTCTGGACTTACCATTAAAAAATAGTCCTGTGTCTATTTTCTCTAAATTTTAAATCCATGAAACATATCATTATAAATCTTTTTAACCAAAACGACTATTGCCATTGCCCCTAATTCCAGCTGATGAGTTATCCCGAAAAGTTGTCACTAAAACTTGAGAGCTGTATTTTGATTTTAGACTCCCTGCTGTTAACATCCATTAGTCAAACCTGATCAGGTTGCCAGAGAAGTTTCTTTCAACAGCTGTGGCAGACCTGGCAATTTTGAAATTGAAAGATAAATAGTTTATTTTGAAAAGCAGCTAAAGATAGAGCCCACAACTGAAATGGATTCCTCCTCCTTCAGGGAAGTAGTATCTTGTTAAATGTACCAATACCTCCCAAGCATACCCTAAAAGACCATAGTATTTTATTCGGAAATTTCTGTTTTTGAGGAGTTTTATCTATGGCCTCAAAATGAAGTTGAAAGTCAAATTGAAGCAAATACCCAGATTTTAAAACTGCCCAAAGGTTTTAGAGCAAAGTGGTTTGCTGTTGTCATTCTAATCATTCCACTTTCTCTCTTCCTTGTGGTTGTGGACAGAGTATCTTGGCCTTCCCCACAGATATAAAAGAAGTCTTTATGCTTTATTTCATGTCCACCCTGTTATAATAGAAAGCGACAGCACTAAGTCCAGATATAATCCATGAAATACATCAGTATTGATTCAGATAAGCAATTAAACCAGTCTAGAACCAGATAGCAGAACTAGTCCTGCCTTCTGACTCTCTCAGTTCTTGTACATATTAAATCTCAACTTACTCTAAAATATGAAGAGTAGTGCTTCAAGCTTGGTTGCTTTTAGAAAACTATCTGATTAGAGGAAGGCGCTGTTGGTCCATCAAGGAAGTGCTTCCTTTTTTACTAAGCTCTTAATTTGGGAAAGAACACTGCTGTGGACTGAATCATGCCTGCTCCAAATTCATATGTTGAAGGCCTAACCCTCAGTGTGACTGTGTTTGGTGATGGGGCCTATAAGGAGGTAAAGAAGGTGAAATAAGCTCATAAGGCAGGACCCTGCTCCAGTAAGATCAGCGTCTTTACAAGAAAAGAACTAGAGAGTTCAATCTCTCCCTCTCTCGGCTATGTGAGGACACAATGAGACGGTGGCCATCTATAAGCCAGGAATTGGGCCCTCCCTAGAAAATGAATGGGCCACACCATGATCTCAGACTTCCCAGCCTCCGAAATCATGAGAAATAAATTTCTATTGTTTAAGCCACTGAATCTGTAGTATTGTGTTATAGCATCCTAAGGTGACTAAGCCAAACACATCTGCGGTGAGGGAGAAAGGACACTGAGTGCAACCTGCCCACGGGCAGTGCACCTGAGGTCTCAAAAGCCCTGCAATTTCACAAGATTACTGAGACATGCCTGAAAAGCTATTGGTATGTTGTCTGATGAGTTATTTGAGGACCAAGAGCACCCTGGCTGAATGGTTGGGCTACTTCTGTCTTAACTGATTCAACACCGTTTTCATGCTTTCACACACTGACTTCCTGTTGACTTCTCCAGTCATTTTGCTGAGTCGTATCAGTCAATTCTAGATTGACAAAATCTCCTCACTTCTATGTTCTACCATGAAAGGATCACATTCTTTCTCTGGTTTTAGCCATAAATGTCTATGTGATAGCCTATTAGTCAGCATATGGGTTTACACTGAGGTTTTCCCTGAGGACTTACAAATAGGTTGAATAAAATTGCTCTCTGGGAGTTAATATTTAAACTCCATACATATTAGGTCAGAGCAGAGATACATACAATCACTCTGAAGAGACATGGGACATTCCCAAGCCTGCAAAACTACCTGTAATCTGCTTGAAAGTTAGAGACTGCCAGTTGGCTACTCAGTCATTTTCTCTTTTTCTCTGGCATCAAAACTCAAATATTATTTGGTACCACAAATGTGCATAGCCCAAACATGGCATTTTCTAGCCTCTCTCTTTGCCAGTAGTGGTCAATGAGAAATAGGAAGTTCCTATAAAGTGAGCTGATTCAGCTGGAAGGAGTGCCCTTTCCCCTTCTTCCTTCCAACTGCTTGGATTGTAGCTATGATGGCTAGAGATCCAACAATAATGTTGAACCATGAGGCAAACTTAAATAGAAGCCAAGTGGTAGTGATAGTGAAATAGAAAGAAGCAGCTGATGACCAAGGAGCCTCCATGCCAATCCTGTACTTTTTCTTTTACGTAAAATAAAAATAAAAATTAAACATATTTAATCCACTATTATTTGAAGCTTTCTGTTGCATATATCCCATCTAATCCAAATATTAAAATTGGAAACCTAAAACTTCTATCCCTGATGTATGTTCCAAAAAAATGACAAGCCATGTGCCTTTATCCCCTTATACCCAGACCCTCTCAAATCTTAAATGGCTTTAGCTTTCCACCTTTCCCAAATCAAGAATTGATTCAGAAAAAGTAACATTTAAATGTTATAATCAATAAACCATTTCCCCCTTGCTCCTCCACTATAGCTTACTATGGAGAAAATTCCCTGGTCTACCTGACAAGCTATTTTTATCTTAACCACATACTGCTGTATGGCAAACATTTTTCCTATTATAAAAATAATACGTAGAACTCAGTAGTCTATAACACTCTATACTCCCTCCGTGTATATTTTGTAAATGGATCTTGTAGAAATGTTTTTAGAAAAGTTGCCATGAAAATAATGTTTTCTGGCATTTCAGGTTATTGTTTTATTATTTCACAATCATTTGAAGTAATATAGCACTTTTCCAATCAAACTACAAAAGCAACTACATAGGAAGACAACTGGATACAGTAATATTCTTAATATTAGCAGTGTTTTAGAAAATCAAAGCAGTCCCATATGTGGTCAGTCAACAGCATGTGGGATGGCCATGTTAACAACCAATCCAAATAGACTCCAGAATCCCCACCATTTAGCATCTAGAGAGAGAGATTTATTCATTTGTTCATTCACTCACTCACTCAACAAATACATCAAGCACTTCTGTTTGCCACACACTGAGCAGGTCACTGGAGCAAGAGGAAAAGATACAGTTCCTGCCCTGCAAGAACTCATACTCTAGACATGTCCATGTTTACAAGCAAATAAGCATACATATGTAAATAAATATACTATGCTCCAAAATTAGTTACAATGGAGACATGCACAAAAATTATTATAATGCAGACATGCACATGAGACAGAAAACCAACTTACTTCAGGTGTAAGTCATTCAGAATTCCTGGGGAACAAATTATTTGCCCTACCAGGCTAGGCCTACACAGATGAGACCTGATTCAAAAATTTCCAAAGGTAAAGAGAGAGAAAGATCTAGAT